AAGCCGGTAGTAGTTGTAGTAATGGTGGTAGTAATAGTAGTAGTTGTTGTTGTAGTAGTAATCGTAGTGGTAGTAGTAGAAGAAGAATAGTGTTTATTTTAGTAGTTGTGTCAGTGATTAAAGTTGTATTAGCAGTAACGAAACAGAGAGAGAGAGAGAGAGAGAGGTACGCTTATACACCACTGTTGATTTGCTCCCCATCTGACATCTCGGTGCACGGAGAGGAAGCAGCCCGCCACGCACACACGCCCGCACCGGAACGACAATAGCACACCATTTGTGAATTCCACCCCGTGCTAACCATGACTTCCTCGCTGGTTCCTCTGTAAGGCGAGAGCTGTCCACGTGCAGGTGACCCTTAGTGACCCCTTTGACCTCGTGTATTCTATATTAGGAATCACACTAGTCATCATGCATTAGAAATTATGAAAGATAAATTACTTTTAGTGGTGGAAGACGAGAATATTATTACGTATGATGGTAAAATGTCGTATCAAGATCTGCATTTGTTGAGGGAATCTTCCTTGGACATGATTTGTTTTTGAAGGTGATTTTAAAATATACAGCGTTTTTGTACCGATAGTAAGTAGATTTCAGTGGATTTGTGTTACAGCGTTCTTGTATCTAGTATGTGGATTTTAGTGGATTCAGTATTATTGTGGTTCAGAAACGGTAGTCAAGATTTTTCTATTTTTGTATGAGTTTAGTTTAATATTTTTGATCAGTGATATGTAAGGGCTATGTGTAAGGCCTATATGTCAAGGCTATAGGTGAGGGCTATATGCAATTTGTGCCATGGGATTTGGTATGTGTTTGGAGTTACAGACTGTGTTCAAGTATTGCCGCTTTGAAGTCGTTTGAAGTTGGAGAGTGTGGCTTTGGGAGGGAACGTCGGGAGTATTTAGCTAATAGTCAACAAGGTGAAGACGGGGGGGAAGAGGTGCCGTACATTCTATGTCGCATCACTGCCTCCACACCACATTCCTTGAGTCCCCCCTCCTCTCCATCCCTACCTTCACCCCCTCCCTCTACCCCTCCAACCCTAAGCTTAACCTCTTCTCCATCCCCCTTCGTCCCCTCCACCACCTACCTTCACCCTCTATCCTCCTTCCACCACTACCCCCTACCCTCTTCCCTTCCAACCCTAAGCTTTACCCCTTTCTCCCCTCTCCCCCTTGCCATTTACTCCCCAAAAAACTGTGGGGGGGATTAGGTTAGGTTAGGGTCGTGTGAAATAAGCAGTGAGGGAGTGAGAGGGATGTAATGAAGTGTTGCAATGGGTAATATTTGAGCAAGGTCGAGGGTGTTGTGTTGTGGTGATGGACTTGGCCAGGGAGAGACCCTTACGTCCATTATGGCTTTTCTTCATAATTTATGGGGTAATTTATTTAGCCCTCTTTTTTATATATCTTGGCTACTGCCAGACATACTGCCTCACACGCCTGTACTCACGCATTTGTGAATAAGTTACCCTTTATGTATAGCACTAAACAAATAATGTAATTGAAATACTGTGTAACATTCAGTGCCATAATATCCTGACAACGGGGGTTAATTATTATGATCCGTTGTAAACTCTACTCTGTAATCCTTTTGCGCTACCGCTCACAGGGTGAGTGTGGGGGTGCACAATCAAGCAGCCGCTGTAAGCGGCAAAATCAATATCAATGGTCGATACATAATGTTATACAGGTGTGTGTGTGTGTGTGTGTATACGAACGTCTGTGTTACATAATACAAAACTTAACATAATTCCATTCTGAAAACCACACTCCATTATAATACTGTAATGTACTGTAGTTGCCCTTAGTAACAGAGCCGAGAATGGTAGTACAAATTGAGTTAAAATCCCAGAAGCGTAATGATGCGTATGGGAGTAACTTGTAGGTGATCAAAGGTAACTAATTAATGAGGGACCAGGTGGGTAAGAGGAGGAGGGGGGGATGAGGGTGGGAGGAGAGCAGGTGAGGGAAGGGGGGTGGGGATGAGGGTGGGAGGGACAGGCAGGTGTGGACAGATAGGGTTGAGGGTGGGAGGAGAGCATTCAGGTGAGAGAGGGAAGGAGGTGAGTGGAACTTCTTGTGGCTCGGTATAGCTAAACGTCGGCCACCTGTCCACCTTTACGAGAGTGAGGTCAAGGTTTGTGACGCTTGACCCGTGTCTGGTACTGTTTTATGGGGACGAGTTTGAGCGCTTATTGATGTACCGATTCACAATATTTGTAAATTATTGTTATTGTGTGATTTTTTTTACTTTGAAAAGTAATCCAAATTATAGATATTATTAAGTAAGACACACATTAAAAGTTGTCTAGGTATAGTTCGTTTTAAAAGTTAATATATTAATTAAGGTAATTTATGCTAATTAGTATTAACAATTATACAATTAAAGACACATAAATAAACAGGCGGGACTTAGGTCAAATTAGTTCCCCAGGGTTAGGAATGTGATCCCAACTGACCTGATGTGAGGGAGGTGAGTGGTAGGCAGCCAACAGGAGAGGTCACGGTGGTCAAGTTTAGTCAGTTATCTGCCACAGTTGCTAATGGTGGGGTCAAGACGAGCCAATCTCCTCTCGTGAGTAGTGAGCAGAATTGACCCGTGATATTCGTCCTCGCGGTATGAGAATCAAGCGTGGAATGTGTGTATGTGTGTGTAGTGCAGTGTAGTGAAGTATGTGTATAATGTTCTCTGTATAAGATATATTAACATACTTTGATCTTTCTTAGTGTTTATGTACCGTAATAATAATAAAGTTCGTATCTGTTGTTGTAGCGAAACTGATATGATTATGATACTTTACACAGAGAATATACTAACAGAAAATGTACAGTAACATATAAACAAACGTGGTTAAGCTCTGCGAAAGATATATGTGTAAATTCAGTGATAGTTTGAGCCGTAGGTGGTTCATATCGTCGTCTGGGGAGCGTGTGTGTGTGTGCGCGGTGATGATATTTTGTTGTGTATACTACCAGTGTTGGGACCTGAGGGGATTTCGAGAGGTGTGTGTTTTTTGTAGGACCGTCCACTGTTAGACACACGACGGGACTTGTTAATCGCGAGTTCTGTTAACCGTCATGTGTCTGGTAGATACAGGTTACAATATGTCACCAACCAGGAAGATACAGTAGAGAATAACAACAGAATCTTGAGACCAAAATACCTTTCAAGTGGACAGCGTCGCACAATTCGTTCCTACATTCCTGGCGTGACTTCCGCTAGTGACACTGCCCTCGTTAGTTAGTGATTGTTCGCCTTAACGATGTTGTTGGAGGGAGGGGAGAGTGTGTGACCGACCCTTCGCTACCTCCCTCACCACTGGGCGTGACACAAGAGGGTGGGATGCGGTTTCACTGTGTCAGACGCAACAGAGTGTACGGGGGTTTGAAGTATAAAAACAATGGTTATTATATTCAATCAATTTGTGTATGTCAATGTGTTTTGTCTCGAAAATACAGACTTATGTATGTACTCAAGTCACTTCTACCCATAATACAAACTGTAAATACCTGTCATCAATACAGTTCTATCCTAACCTAACCATTCAGCGTAGTTTGGTAATGTTATAATGAATTACTTCTACTTAAAGGAATCTAACATTTTATCATATCTGAACTAATCTCTATGCTTTACAGACTTTATCTCTTGTATGCACTTTATAGCGCTGCCTCTATTGTATATCTGTTTTATTAATATTGTTTGTCTTTTAAATTTCCTGTCATTATCACACCTTCACCTGTCTCACACCTTCACCTGTCTCACACCTTCACCTGTCTCACACCATCACCTGTCTCACACCTTCACCTGTCTCACACCTTCACCTGTCTTCATTGTTACTGAAGGAGAAACATAATTAATTCTACTAAAAACAGAAAACGGAAGTTAATAATTATGTTTTAATTGTGGTCGTGATGAGAAGAGTTTGTGGCTGTACCAACTAGTGCTTATGGTTCTCTTACACGAAGCTATAGGTTTACTTTTTTATTTTGTTTTTAATTGGTATTAGTAAATCACTCTTGTAGTATTTCATTTTATTCTATAACTTATGGGTATTAGTAAATCACTCTTGTAGTATTTCATTTTATTCTATAACTTATGGTAAAAAGTTTATAATTATGATAAGACTCGCTTGTGCAAGACAGATGCCATATTGTCTGTTATATGCCATTAGTTCTTTAAAGACTTGTTAGGGCACTGTAAAGTCTCATATGAAACACTCGTCCACGTATCTTCCTTCACGTTTATTGTCAACTTGTAATACCTGCCTCGTTATAACTTGGATTTGATCAAGAACTTTTCCTCTGTAATAATGAACCTTAAGAACACAAGATATAATGATGGTGTTCCTGCCCAAACTATTATCTAAGTTAGCCTTAAATAATTCACCAAGTTATTTCGTTTTCTTTGATTGTAAATTTTATCTTAATTTATGGGGTAACTATACTGTAATAATATTTTACCTTCACCTCACGATACACCCCTTAGCAATCTGTGTATTATGAAGACAATATAAACTTGCTATATAGTTCATGTTATCGGGAGTCTAACCGGTTGATTTCTGGGTCGTATAGTCGGATAACACATCATAGGACTGTTCAACCGAATTTATATGGTCGTCTGTTAATTTGGCTACACAGTTGGTTACCATCCATTCACGTTAAGGATACACCTGCTACCTTGCCCCCTCACCCCCAGATACAAGGGTTAAAGACTGCTTCATTTAGGATTATATTTCATTAATGTTTTCTGAGCATAACGAGTGCTTGTCCAGTTACCTCCTTCATGAAGTACTGGTGGCAGCTGTGCACGGCCGAGAACGGTGTCCATTCCACGTTTTAGAGAAGATTAAGGAAACGAACTGAAACAAACTGTGGAAAACAAGTCTAATTTTCTCAGTGTGTGTGTGTGAGGGGGGGGGGTGTTATTTGGCGTTTATTTTTAGTATTAATCGTAATATTTCATCCCAGTTTCATCACCATCTTTCCTCTCCCCGACAGCCATCCAGTCGTTGGATTCTCTCAACGACCAGATTGTGGAGTTTATCTTCAGCGGCACAGACTTCGACGACGAGAATGGCAGCTCTCCCAAACAGCGCGAGGCCCTCAAGTCCTCCATGGCGCTTATGAGGAGGCTGCTTGTTGACGCCCAGGTGAGTGAGTCTTGGCGCCCAGGTGTACTATGATTAACAGGTGAATTATGTTGCTTAGGTGAGTCTTATTAACTTTAGGTGTAGGCTACTATGATGCTCAGGTGAACCATTATGCTTAGGTGAGTCTTATTGAGTTTCAGGTGTAAGCTACCATAATGCTCAGGTGAACCATAAAGATTAGGTGAGTGTTGAGGATCAGGTGACCACTTAATGATGCCCATAATATCCTGTGTAATAGGACTAATGGAATCACCTGGGGATTAACCACCCTTAACCTAACCTAACACATCCAGGTAAGGTTAAGGTGTTTAGTCATCAGCTGAAATAAACTGGGGTGTCTAATCTTTATTGTAATCCGGAGTTATATAAGTGTGGTAAGAAATATAGCTGAAGATATACGTAGTAATAGTTCATGTAAGGCTCTCTCTCTCTCTCTCTCTCTCTCTCTCTCTCTCTCTCTCTCTCTCTCTCTCTCTCCACCTATATAATGTCTCTCTCTTTATCCATCTCTCCACGACAGACAAAGTTTCGCAAGATGGTGGAGGATAACAAGCAGCTGGCCTCACGGATTGACGGTGACCTCCAAACTGCCCACCAGGAGGTCAATCTGCTGCGTCTGGAGTTAGCCGACACCAACCGCCGCATCACACAGCTCCACCAGGCTCACAACCACGATCACAACCATCAGGAGGCACACACACCACCAGACTCCACCACCACTACTACCACCATCAATGGCTCCAATAAATGTGAGTGTTGAATTGTTGGTGTTGTTGTAGTTGTGGTTGTTGTTGTTATTATTGTTGCTGTTGTTATTGTTGTTGTTATTGTTGTTGCTGTGGAATAGATAATTGAATCTAAACTTCGTCTTTGTTTAAAATCGGTTTATTTGTTTTGGTATTAATTTACATTACAGAGGCAGATACTAGCATAGATAGATAGATAGATAGATAGATAGATAGATAGATAGATTCCAACATTTACTGTGACCATTTCCAGTATTCTGTAGATATAAAAAGATATATAACAATGTAGATATAACAAGGAACACCTATATATTAATTACTACAGGTGTACAGAGACTATTATAACACCTGTAGTATAAAATGAATACAGGTGAAGTGAGGTTAGGTGCAGGTGAGGTTAGGTTAGGCCTGGGCTTGGCTTGGCTGGCCGTGACGGGTGTAAGGTGTCAACTGGTTTGTGAGGCGCAGGAGTGGACCAACCTGTGCCGGGGGCTGGTGGCGTCTCCTCCTGCTGCGCCTGCTTCTGTACCTACACCTGGTGGTTATGAAGTATAATAAAGGTGACTAATTAGCGAGCGTGGCGGCCATGTTTTTGTACCTGTAATTAGATAAAGATAGTTGTTATCTTTAGGCTGACTTAATATATTACTGGGGCGTCTCTTGTGAAGTATAAACACATTCAAATGACTAAATATAGTATAATTAAGCTACATAGCCTAGTCTCCCCTGAAGCTTACTTTCGTCAGAAATATTTTTTATCAATGAAGATATATTCCCCTAATGTTATCCATCGTTGGGTATTACACTTAACGTCGCAATTACGTTATTCATTACACCAATCATGTATGTGTCACTACAAGAACCATTAAAATGGGTAGTTAAGGAAGATATATCAAGGAATTGGCAGCGTTGTTGACGTGTTTTGTTGATGACGAATTTCAAGTTGCAGAAAACAAGAATCTGAAATTACTGTTACAGGGTGTGGGTGTGGTGAGGGGGGGGTAGTGAGTGGGTGGGGTGAGGGGGGGGTGGGGGTGGGGGGGGGTGGAGGGTGGGGTGTGAGGGTGGTGAGAGGGTGGTGAGGGTGAGGGGGGAGACTGGGTGTGGTGAGTGGGTGGGTGGTGTGAGGGGGCGTAGTAGTGGTGAGGTGTGGGTGGTGGACTTGAAACCCGCATGACGTCATATATGAGCTGGAAGTCTCCCCCTCTTACTCCATCCTCCCTCCCCTCCTTCCCTATCCTTGTCAGTTATCCGTTTATTCCTCTTCCCAATTATCTGTCTTCTCTCCGTCAAATAATTACCTTTCCCTTCCATGTATCTTGTTATTCTTTCACGTTGCTACAGCCCTCCCTCACCCCCCCCACCCTCCTTCACCCTCCTTCACCCCTCCTCACCCTCCGTTACATTTCCTTTAATTTTTCACTTCTTCTCCTCTCCCCTCATTCATCCCTCACTCTCTCCTCCCCTCATCCAACTCACACTCTGTATTTTTCTCTTTTATCTTTTTCTTCGCAGTGTATTGATGAGAGAGAGAGAGAGAGAGAGAGAGAGAGAGAGAGAGAGAGAGAGATATGATTGTTTTTGTCATTACATTTCATAATTTCATTCGAGTTACCCAAATTCTTCCCCATCTAATTATATATTCCTTTCTAATCCATATCACTGCTTATTCCTTCTTTCTTCTGTTATTATCTAGACCCTTATTTATCTAGTTGCTGTTATGTACACTCATTCTTCTTCTTCTTCTTGACCTCATGTCCTCGTGGCCTCTTAAACCCTCATTCCCTCACCCTCATACCTCAAGTGACCTCCGACACGAGAGCACAACACCTATCACCTCATCTCCCCCTCACACTCACCTTTCTCTCACTCTCTCTCTCTTTCATTTCCTCTTATTCTTCTGTGGCCCTTCTCTCTCCCCTTCCCTCTTGGCTCTCATCGTATCTCTCCGTCTCCTACCTGTTTTTTTCTTCTTGTTTCGTACATGTTTCCATTCAAGGGCTCTCCTCTGGTGCTTTCCTCTCAACAGTCTCACTATATACTTTCACTCTCACTCTTCTACCTCTAGCTACTCTCAAACTCATTGCACTACTTTCCCATCATGACCTACAGCATTACTACTACTACTACTACTACTACTACTACTACTATTACTACTACTAATACTACTACTACTACTAATATTACTACTATTAACTCTTTCTTTCATCATCACTCCCTACCTCTTCTCTCACCTTAACTTCACTGGCTTACTCTCACCCTCTATAACACCCCTCACACCCCCTCCCCATCCCTCTCCATTTCTGTCCCTACACCCCTTTTACCCCCTCTCTCCTTCCCTCTCTCTTACACACACACACACACACACACACACTTAACAGGAACAACAACACAGCCCCTGTACTCTGGCCGCACCACTACAACACCCACACCCTTCCTCCCTTCGTCAGTGTCTCCGTCATTGTGTATTCCGTCCTAGAAGATAACCAGGCGAGGGTTCGACCTGATCCAGAGACCCCCCCAGAGAAATGCCCTGAGTTCCCCTTATAGTTCTAACCCCCAGAGAGAAGTATTAGACTGATTTTAAAGACCCACAGTGTACCCTACCCCCAGAGAACTGCCACATTGGTCTCAAAACCCTCGGCTAAGACCTCCTGAGAAAGACTGTGTGAGAGTGATTCAAAGACCCAATTAGACCAAGAGATCAGATAAAATACGAACAGAAAATACCATGAAGAAAATTGTCGAACAGCTTCCATGGACACAAGACAAAGGAGAAACAGTATAAGAAAACAAAACCTTTTTCTCCTCACACAAAAAGCGCCACAAGTCCCTCAAAACCCCATAAAAGTGCCCAAACCCTTTCATATAACAGACCAAAACATTCCACAGTGTGTCTCAATTCACTTAACCCGCGGACACAAGAGTATGTAAAGCCTAGTCGACCATAGCGGCAAAGAGTGTAGGAACCAACAGATGGTCCTGCGGTCACCCTTGTCGGCGGCGTCGTCAGTATTGTGCGAGGATGAAGCTGTGATGGGGGAGACTATTGTACTCCGTCATGTGGCTTATTTGTCAAGACGCTTTAGTGAAGGTAGGGAGCTGGTTATTGTTGTTGTTGTGCTTAAAGTGTTGTGATGTTAGGTAAGGTTAAGTTGTTGTGGTGTAGCTAAGTTAAGTAGGGTTGTTGTGGTGTAGCTAGGTTAAGTAGGGTTGTTGCGATGCTTAGTGTTGTGGTGTGTGATTAGGTTAGGTTGGGTGGTTGTTGTTATTGTTACGCTTTAAGTGTTGTGATGTTAGGTTAAGTTATTACGGCTTAGCATGGAAGGAAATGAACAGTTATCAAATTTCTCCGACTTGTCAGAATTTCTTGATTTCTAGTTTTTGTTTTTCTCGAGGTCAAGTGTTGCTTCACTGGATGTGTTGATCAACCTTTTACCTTTTATGTTGTCCAGGTAAGTTTTGTGTTTCCTGCAACTGGTGAGATAAACATATGTTCCATGGGTGATCTTACTTGCAAATGATTAGTATAGGTAATGTTACTTGGTGTGAATATTGTGTTACTTGACATATATTGTGTTCCTTACTGTAGATATAATTATTATATAATACAGTGTTGCTGTTACTTAATAGTGTCATTATTTTATTATGTTGCGGTTGTAATTTGAGTTGTTTAGGAGTTAATGATGGTACTTTATAATGGGTAAACAGTTATCGTTCAGGTCTAAGGGTTGTGATGGCGACTAAACTTAGCCTTATCGTTCACCTGGCACTCGTCAACAGGTGGGATTTTTTAGTTATCGAATGTTGAGCTTTTAGAAAGACTATGTTATTATTGTTATTATTATTATTATTATTGTTATTATTATTATTATTATTATTATTATTATTTTTTTATTATTATTTGAAGCCTTGTGTTAATGTGTGACGCTGCTTTGTGTGTGTGTGTGTATTGAAGGGGGGGGGGGGAGTAAACTGTAGAGGATATCCCACCCAACAAGGTATAGATCCCCGTGTATGTATGTATATGTGTGTTAGTGTGTGTGTGGTTGTGGGCGTGTGGGTGTGGTGTTAGCGGTGTGGCGTCAACCCGTCTCAAGTATAGCAGGTTGTTTCACGCCCCGCTGCCACCCTCTTGTGCACTACCGCCAGCCCGAGACGCTCTTTGTCTTCATATAAACACGACACCAAAATTACGTAGGAGGCGACCCCTCAGTGACACACCCCCCCTAGTTGTTCAGTTGCTCATTTGACTACGCCATGAAGACAGTGGCAGCGTGAACTAAGATGGTGATATTTTCTCCATCCACGTGAAGCAGTGTTGTGATCGATTCGAAGCTGGTTTGCTGACGTGATCGATAAGTACACATTTTTTTTTCTTTCGTTCAGGTATTCGACTTTGTGTATATGTTTGGGGGTTAGATACACATGGAAGAGGATGAAATAAGGAGAAAATATGACTTAAAGACAATGTTTCCCCATCGATAATGTTCATTGGACGGCTGATAACATGGAGTGGAAAGGAATCTGGTCTTATGTTGGCAACTTCATCCCGAGGAACAGATCCGGTGAAAACATCGAGGTGGAGGATGAGTTCGTGGACGTCTCCGAGGGTGAGGAAGTACCAGTGGGGAGGAGGTCGAGGAGGAGAATCAGCATCAGGAACTTACTGGGGAATGGGGAAGAACGTAGCACTGCGGGAGGAGACCATAGAGCGACCATCCCTTCTACAGGAGGTGCTGAGGGGTCGTGTCCACTGGCTTCCGTCACCAATACTGAAGGTCAAGGTGAGACTCATCCTGCTGCTGACGATGATGATGATGATGATGATGATGATGATGATGATGATGATGATGATGAAGAAGAGGTAGTTCAGGGAGGAGATGATGATGATAGTTGTGAAGAAGAAGAAGACGATGAGGAAGAAAAGGTAGAAGAAGAAGAGGAGGGGGACGTGGACGGTAATGGCGTCCCTACCTCCTCGAGTTCAAGTGACTACGAGG